TCATCGTCGTCTTCTCCCTCCGCCGCTGAAACGTATTCGGATAACGTCTCACAATCATCCCGCTTGTTCAGAGATTTTCGGAGCTGCAAGTGCAGCTGCGACCCCACGGGAAGACAGGGAGTGTAGAGACGTTTGTTCTTGCTAGGCCATTGAGGCCGATCCATCCACTCTAGCGAGAATTTGAACGAGTAGGGTTGGTGTGCAGTCTTGGGCCGACTCAGCTCCCCAGATTGGTTCTGGGGCTGCCATTGACCGTCCAAGCCTTTGTCTGCTGACGCCAGATTTTCAGAGCTCGCAGAATCTGACTCGTCAGAGCTGCTAGAAGACGACGCCTCACCATTAGACTTTGAGCTAGAAGAACTGCCAAACATGGCTTTAAGGATACTCCATTTCCGTTTAGGTGCGGGTTGGGGCTCCAATGATTCCGCTTTCGCAGAAGTAATGCTACTGGAGAAAGCGGACGTTTTCTCCGCTGGAGCCGGAGGAACAACACGATCGAATGATACGAAGAAGTTCGATGGCGACAACTGATTATCACATCTGATAATAATGATCCTCCGGCCTGGTGCCGGCGTGCACGGTGCAGAAGAAAGCGGTGTGGTGAGTTCTTCATCGGCTTTGGCCTGGAAAGCAAGGTAGTATTTCCAAGTGCGCTGAAGCCGGTTCCATAGCGTCTCGTATATCGCAGTGTCAAGAGATGTGGGCTCATCGCTAAACCTCCCCAGTCTCCAACACAACAGACGATGAAAGTAGGCGCGGACCATTGGACTCCAATGGCTGAAGTAATGGTAGAAAATGGACTCTTCTAGGAGAAATTTCAAGCACAGATCGGCTTTCCTTTCCTCTGAAGCAGTCCATGTGGTCCAGATAGCAAAGAGAAACGAGAACACCCGAACTTCAGTGAGAGAATTGTGACTTTGCATCATTTGACGACAGACTTTCAGCCAGAAATTCCAGTCGAACAAGTCATTCTCGATGGAATGGGAATATCGTATGATAATGGGAATAACCTCCTCCACAAAATCACACAGTAGGAAACAAGCATTATGGTCGAACAGCGATGTCCTCTCCGCAGCTGCTCTCATGATGGTACAAAATGATTCAGCATACAGCAACCTTGCATGGTTCGGCTCAAGCGAAGATTCCGAGAGAAAATCCCGAAGCAGAATAATCAAGCGATTTTCAGCCATCAAACGATGACTATTCGCTGCCCCTAAGGGAAGAGCCGAGACAGCCGCATCGGTCCCTTCTATGAAATCATCAAATGTGACCGCGGCAGCCGTGTGATTGGTTTCCTGCATTTGCGGAACCGATTGCTTGTAAAGGGTGTCCTCAAGAACAACCAGGAGCTGCGAGTGAATCGGCAGCAAGCCTGGTGCTAGGATCCGCTTCTGCTTGTCAAGATCTGGCGGCAGAGCATCGGCGTATAGTACATGAATGTACTTGACAAAAACGAAAAAGAGATCGGTATCCCGGCCACTCCATCGCGAAACCCACGGGCTCTGCCAAGGAATCTGAACAGTGCTCAAAGGTACATCAGGCTTCTGGCGAAGGTATCGCACCAGAGCCGTATGGGCGTGAAAAGCAAGCGTCCGTAAGGCTGCCGGGAAGTTTAAAGCAAGGTCCTGTGTTAACGCTTTCGTGCCGCTACCTTTGTCGAGATTTGACTGGGAAAGTACGCGCCGGAAGATGCTGGGAGGTGTATTCCATAGCCGCACAAGGATGTCGGCGACGCCAGGACAGAAGAAGAATGCATAGGCACAGGCCTTGCCACAGAATGCAACTAAGCTGGCGGGCGCATGTCGCATGGACATTCTTTCAACCACAAACGACATCTGAGACAGTAAATTTTGCGTGAAGATATTCCTTATGTTGTGATGAATAGACTCAAGGAGAAAGTCGGAGCCTGACGAGCCATCCGAACTCTCCGATATAGAAGTTGACGCATGCTTGAGAGGCTGTGGGAAATTGCTGTTCGACGGTGGAAGAGGGAAAGGAACCCTCCATTCGGGTCGAGTCATAATGCCGACAATTGCTTCCAAGTATACAGGCCTGTCCGTGCCGGATATGGACTGATTATTCTTGCCGTTGAGCATCTCCAATAGCCCGGTCCACCACTTGTTGAGTATGTTAACCCGGCGATCTAGGTCTTCGGGCCTCAGATGTTTACAGGATTGATGCGACGGGCTTCGGTTCAAGAACGGCAACAGCGCGGACCGGATTACGTTGGCTTTCAAAGCGCTGGACTTAGCCTGAAACCTATATGAAGACTAAGTCAACCAATGTACGCATATATGCAAATTCCTTGAGGACTCACTTCTGGAAGTCAGCCTCGAGGCCCCGGAAAACACCCCAGAGCTCATCCTTTTTCCGCGACACGTCCACTGTTCCGGCGGAATTCGTAGTTGCCGGTGCTTTAGGCACCGGAGGTAGGACCGGCGTTGAGACATTGAGGGTTGCGGTGAGTTTTTCTAGCGAATTCTTGGCCACTAGTGATTGAGGTGAAGAACTACTGGGAGTACTGGGACTATCTGCTCGACTTTGCGTCACAACCGCGACCATCGGACGTCGCGGTCGTTTCTGTAGGATTGTCCGCCTGCGGGCGGGGGCAGTAGGCTCAGTTTCTGCACTCACAGAATCTGCTTTGCCGTTCGCTTTAGGTGGAGTTGTCGGGGGATTTAAGGTTTGTTCCTCTGTACGTAGAGAACGGAGCCGGGAGCTTTTCCCAGAAGGCGGAGAGCTTGACATCCAGGGTTTTCGAGCCAAACTGACCAGCCTGCCGGACATAGAGCGGGCTTTGGAGGGGCGAGCAACGGGCGACGGTGCCCTCGTTTCCGGAACCTGGGCAGGAGGAACTGAGGTTTCTGGGCCAGCAGGATCCGACACATCCTCTGTCGATACGGTAAAGCGAGAAACAGCGATAGTTGGTTTGTTCTTAGACCGAAGCGAGGTCCGTCGTAAGATGTCTTTGCCAGCAGCCACATCCTCTTTTGACGGAGACTCCGTCTGAACAGGATGGTTTAGGTCGGAGAACGTCCTCCGCAGACCAGGCCGGCCGGCCTCGGTGGCCGCTAGGTCCGGAAGGTGGTTGTAACTAGCGGCATGGGTCAAATGGACGTGATCGTCATCGAGATGAGGGGTTGCGAGCTCTGTAGAGGAAGAAGACATGGTCAAGGATAGCCAATCTTGGCTATAGATCCACGCAGAGGAAGAGCCCTAGCGAGGTGTACATCTCCTCCAGCCGCGAAAGGCTGGGCAATATACTATCACTCAAACGGGCGTTGGGGAGACCAGCTCCTCCATATACAACGAAAGCCACTCCCAGAGAGATCAAATCATATGCGGGTCGTTCTATTCCAGTAGCATTGAGTCGTTCCGGTCACCGATGCGGAGAAAGATGAGGGAAGGCGACAAGGAAGGGAGGCTTGGAATGATGGCGGTGCAGGCAGGCAGAGGAAGGGCAAGCGACCGCGGCGAGCGAATACGGCAATTATCGACGAAGCTCGGGATAGGACTGGCTCCGAAAAGCTAAACCGAGAACCTTTAACGACGCACGGCGAACTAGGGACTGAATGTTAGCCAATGCTGGGCAGGAGAAAATGAAGAGCGAGCGGTTGATCGACGGACGGGCAGTATTCCGGCGTGAATACGAAGTATAGCGGAGTAACGATCGTAAGGTTGATTGAACGAGGGGCAGGTCGGAAAGCCGGCAGGGGGGGCAAGAGATAGTAGGTATGATATTGCAGTAGAGCTAAAACTTGCTTGCTCCTTTTCTTGTTCTTTATATGGGGCCCAGGGAAATGATAGAGCGAAGGAACAATGGGGAGTGAACAGAACAAGCAAACGAATGTCGGAATCAACGAGGAAAGGGGAGCGGAGCAGAAACGGAGCGGAATAGAGTAAGGAAAGGGGAGAAAGGAGCCGCAAGAAGAGGAGATGGGGATGAACAAGCCAGCGAGAGCCAGTGACGGCCAAAGAAAGAGAGACAGAGAGACAGAGGGGGAGAAAGAGAGAGAGAGAGGAGATGATGAGCAAGGCCGAATGGGGCAAAGCAGATGAACTGACCGGTTTCGATAATACTTCCCACTTCCTATTACATACAAGCCAGCCCACTTCTTCTTCTTCTCCTGGTGGCTTCTCTCCTCTCTAACCCTTGATTTAGCCCTTGGAGTAGCCCCCGTGAAGCTTGGCCCCAACAATGGGAGGGTATAATGATCTCACTAGGTGGTTATTTTTCTTTTTTGAACGACGACGACGACGATGATGATGATGATGATGACGGGGGAGGGAACAGTGACCTTGCGGGCGCGGAAAAGTAGAAGACGACAAGGAGGACTGAATGGGACTCCTTCCACGTTTAAGATTGAGAAAGAAAAGAAGGCTGTCCTATCCTAAAGGTTCCAGGCAATTTGCCCAAGTAGGCGGTCGCTTAGGATTTCTTTCTTTTACTATTTCTTTTATTTATTTATTTTTTTTCTAACTATTTTTTATTTTTCTTATTTTCCATCTGCCTGCTTGTCTGGATTTGATGGCTTGATGATGTACCCCGTCCACGCACGGAGGGCCCAGAAGGTAAGTAAGCAAGTACACACCGTCTGGCTTGCGCTTGGGCGGTATTGTCTCTTACAGTAAGTACCGGGTATTTATGTAACCATGTATTTGATTACAATACCGCAGTTCCCTTGTCGGAATTCGAGCGATCCGAACACCAGACTCGCCCAGAATGAAACTCCATTGTCCGTCTAGAGATGAAATTGGGACGAGGATGGTGATGCTCATATGATGGGATTGAGGGGGAAATTAAAGCCTGGACTTGGTATTTGTCCCCTTTATCGTCCCCCTTCCTTTCCTACTGTATATCTCACCAAACGTTGAACCGTCCGGGTGCGTCCCTGGTGCTTAAGCCTCGTAACCTATTGATACATGGAGAAGGGGGGAGGAGTTTGCCCCATGCAAGGCTGTGAAGAGAAATTCAATAATCGCGTCATGACGAAATCATTCTCCAAGCTGAATTTTTTTTTTACTATGAATAACCCACACTGTCTTAGCAGTCCTGGACTTGCGTAGATTTACATGTAGGTGCTATGGTAACAAAAGGGTTGAGAAGAAGGATGGATCAGAATCATTGCGACTATTGATGGAAGTAAACTGTATTCGTGAGCGGTACCATACTTTACTATCCGTACTTACCTTTTACTATCTATCTACTTACCCATCCAATCTGGCTCAGCTCCGGGCTCCGAACCTTTTTGAGGCTGCATGCACGTCCAACAGCAGCTTGCAGGAACAGGTTGGGTACGCAGTAGAGTTTTCGATCCTCGTCCTGGCCCCCGAGTTGGGCAATGCGAAGCGTCTGTGGGAACGGTTGCGCTGACTCGTCCGAGGGGCGCAGTGGAGGGGAACATTCTCCCGTGTTATTATTAGTAGTGACAAGATGGGAGTTATCTATTTCGTACAGGAGGAGGACTGGGATCTTGGCAGGACCCTGATATTAGTTCCTATTTGGTTGCCGTATGGGGTAATTGTGAAACATTGTGAGTAAAGCCGCGCGCAAACTTGACTTGGCATAGGGAAATGGTTAGTCAGGCTGAGGCTGGTAAAAGAGGTGTCAAGTAGTGTCAGGTAGTGTCAACTACTTAGTAGAAAGCGCTTCAGTGCTCTTATCAAGTGCTACTTCCTGGTGCAGAGGAGTTGCTTGCTACTTATCAGTCGGGGCGTAAGTAGATGATCAAAGTGTGGCGTGGTTGTTCCATCACACTCTGCCCCTGCTTTGTCAGGAAAGTAAAAGCAAAAGTAAACTATCTCTGGGTGACTTGGTCTTTCACCGTCCGCGCCGTAACTTACCATTCATTGTTTGTTTGGTACCACCCGAATATACTTGGATCGGATCGGATCCTCACCAGTACCACCGCAACTGGTAAACCTTCCCTCCAGCATCCTCCACCTCCTCTTGGATTACTAGTCAGGTCGCTAATCAAATCTTAATTAAGTGGGTTTACATTATCAACCATAAGACAGATGTGAATTCCTGCCAATTCAATCCTCCGAAAGGAATGTTGTACAGTTATAAGCGGTCCACCTGGAGACTCCCGCTCTCATTCCATTTGACCAACGTCATCCTGTTGATAACCGGGGGATGAAGTGGCTCAGCCAGCCATTTCATGCCTGCCACCGTTTCCTAGTCTTCTTGTCAAGATTCCTGGAGAATGAGATTCTAAAATGGCTGACAGACCCATCGATCGCTCAATCATTCCACAGATCGACCCTGCAAGTATGAACGTGTAAGCCCCATATGTTGAAAGCAACCCGGCTGCAACAACCCTCATAGCGTGATGGGTGTTGTGGACAGACAGACAGACAGATTGATCGAGGCAGATTATCGTATCATTCTTTTAGTCAAAGGCCTGAGTCCTGATGGTCTAGCGGTCTGCGAAAGCAATCCTGGCTGGAGCTGTCATATCTCACGCTTCACACCCACTGTACAGTAGAACAACTAATGCTAAATCCCCTGCATCCTCTTCGAATCGACAGATCTTACCAACACACTACTAACAAGATGATTCGTATTGCATGTTGTTTTTAGCCCGATGAAGAAGGACACGTTATGATCGTCTCTCAGCCCGAAGTAAGGTAGATGCAGTTGCATACCCTTGAGAAGATCCAAAGATGTCCTGCCCTTCCGGTCACCGGCGCCCATGTGCACTTGACCATAACCGAAATGTACCAGATGTATTCGCAACTTTCACACGTCGCACACCAGGGTCATCATTGCAGGAGGCGAAATTCCAATTTGTCTGGCCGTATCATGTCCCGCTGTACTCCGGACAGCGTTCCCAAATGGCGTGCTGGGATCAATCTGCCACTTATCAATCAGAAGAGGAGGTTCGGACGGTCGGATATATCAAAGCCGCCCGCGCTACGGTCGCCTGAGGCCAATTTCTGCGCTCGGGGTACCCGCTTTGGCCAAACGTTGAGTACTACGGCTACGAAGTACTCCTCTCACTCCCTTTCTTGAAATAACCTCCCGGCCGGATTATGTTCCGAAGGGATGCAAAACATACTTGACTAAAAGAGCTTGATGGCAAGAGGAAAAAAGAAAGTTCATGTGCTCAAAGTAGGTTTAATTTACAGAAGTTACTCCAGGACTTGAACAGCGGAGGATATCACATTAAGTCCATCCCATTGTCTATAAGCCCCGACTCTCCCTGATCGTTGTCGGTGAAACAACAGATACCTAGTGAGCAGCGTGGGCCTCCTCCTCCGGTTCCTCCTCGAACCAGCTCTCCTCAACGGGAGCGGCCTCACCAGCGGCGGCCTGGCCCTCAACCTCGACCTCCTGGCTCTCGTAGGACTTCAGCTCATTGGCGAGGTTGGCCTCCTCGGGGGACTGGGGAGCGGCGGGAGGAGCGAACTTCTGGACGTGAGCGTCGGCGTCACCGGCCTTGACGGGAGTGGGCTTGTAGGCACGGAGTTCGCGAAGGTAGAGCTCCTGGACAGGGTCGGCTGCAAGACGTTAGAAACCGTAGATGCCTCATATGCACGGCTGATTTGCCCAATCCGAGTGAACATTCTCGATGGGAACCGATTCCACATTGTATGATAGAGGGTCACATACCCTGACGGACAGCCGAGGTCAGGAAAGTGCGGCGAGAAACAGAAACCTGTTGCCGAGAGACGCGGGAGAAGAGAGAGCGCTACCGAACAGGGTCAGTCACCATGTCACCCATTTGAATTGGGGAGTATATCGTAGGTGTATCGTAATCTTACCGACGCTCTGAGAGTCTGGGACATCATCGCGGCGGGGTGATAGATGAGGGGGGTTGGAGGTAGGTGGGTTTCTGCGAGGAGAGCAAGTGCTGATTGAAGCCGATGTTGGAAGTTCGACGTTTGTTCGGGAGCCTTCGGCTTGGCGGATGACTCAGCAGGGCGGCTGCGAAGTCCAAGTCAGGTGCATCTCCAAGTTGGGTTTGTCCGCTTCGCCCCTCAACCTCAGTTCTCTCGCTTCCTCTTCCTCTCCTCTCTTCCCTCTCGTCGTTCTTTGTTCCCCTCCCCTCTTAACCTCCCGGCCACCTCTTCCGCAAGGCCTTCCTTGTCTGCTCTGCGACACTTTTTCGTGATACAACCCTCACGGAGAGACCTTGATTGGTTCCATCGCGGTCGGGCAAGCTTGGCTTCGAGGTTTCGGGGATTACGCTGGAGAAGGTGATCACCGAGTACTTCAGTGCTTTACTCTGGGAACTTTGGCAGGACCAAGAGTCCTTCACCTGCCCGGAAAGGTAAAGCGCTAGCTTATAGAACCTGATCCCCTCCCTGAGGATAAAAAATTGCATGTCGGTGACTACCGGTGGACCTTCACCGTTGTCATTCATCATGTAGTTTTCACTCGGGAATCTCCTGCATCGTCTCCTATCTTTGGAGTTGTTGTTCAGATATGCTTGGGGCATTCAGGCTAACATTAGTACAAAGGCAGTGACGTGAAGACGTACTTGTAAATCAGTCTGAGCGATTTGCGCCGCTGCTGCCCCATCCTCTATCGCCGTTATACGCACGCCGATTCATAAAGTCTTTCCAACAGACTTTGGCTGTGAGCCTCACCTCGCCATTCGAAGGCCGTTGCACCTGCAGCTCCGCGTTTATCGACCACTTTTCTAAACGATACACCCAAGCCTTGTCACACTGCCTCTAAATATGGCTGCCGTTTCCCCTGCTGCCGCTAGGGCCGAGCCAGGCCAATGGAAGAAGAACCTTTCGGCCCACGTCATTTGTCCCGAGTGCAAAGAAGTGCCTCCTAATTTGGAGTTTCCTGGTTCCCATGAAACTGTTTGCGGATCATGTGGCCTGGTCCTCGCTGATCGGGAAATCGACATGCACTCTGAATGGCGTACATTCTCCAACGACGATCAGAACAACGACGACCCTTCTCGTGTTGGAGATGCTATGAACCCGCTTCTCAACGGTGATCAGCTGGAGACCCAGATTGCTAGTGGTGGGTCGGGCCGCGTTCGCGACCTTTACCGGGCTCAGAACAAGCAGTCAAGTGAAAAGGCAAACAAAGCTCTTCTGGCAGCCTACAAGGAGATCGGTGCTCTCTGTGATGGTTTCAACATCCAGAAGAACGTGGCAGATACAGCGAAATACCTCTTTAAGATTGTGGACGATGCCAAGGCATTCAAGGGAAAGTCTCAGGATGTGATCATTGCAGGCTGTATTTTTATCGCCTGTCGCCAGTGCAAGGTGCCACGTACCTTCACTGAGATCTTCGCGGTGACCAAGGTTACGAGGAAAGAAATTGGGCGTATTTACAAGGCTTTGGAGAAGTTCTTCACTGCGCAGAACCTCGAGCGGATCAACGCTGTGGTCTCAAGCGGAGGTGTCCCTGACCCCAACGACACATACACCGCCACCACTTCCACCAAGCCTAGTGACCTCTGCAACCGTTTTTGTAACCTGTTGGATCTGCCCTTCCAGGTTACTAGCGTCTCCTCTGCTCTATCCGATCGCGTGACAACGATGGGAGATTTGGCTGGACGTTCTCCCCTGTCCATTGTGGCAGCCTGCATATACATGGCTTCGTACCTGATGGGACATGGCAAGAGCGCCAAGGAGATATCTCAGGTGGCCCATGTCAGCGATGGTACGATCCGCGGTGCTTACAAGCAGCTATATGCTGAAAGAGAGCGCCTGATCGATCCCGAGTGGATCAAAGATGGAAAGGGTGACTTGAAGAACCTGCCTAATAGTTAAATGGGCTAGACCTTGCCCTTTTCAAGCAGTTTGACTACTCGACATTATGCCGGAATAGCCGCTTGTGCTTCACATCCAGCGCCTTGGTCAAACCTCGCTACTAGCTACTGAGAGTAAACATGATACCCCAAATCACCTAGAGATATACACAAAAAAAAGAGACAAGAAACAAAAACAAAAACACAGATATATAATCCAAGTCAATTTCATACCGTCGCATCACCATATCAAACAAAGAATGGCAATTTGCGAAAGAAGGATCCGGTAGTCTCCCAAACGAACGAGAATGAGATCCAGAAACCAGAAAGGGGGAAATCTCAGTCGTTATTTTCAAAACCATCATCACATGCCGTCATATTCCTTCTTATACTATACCATTTATCTCCCAACTTCCAAAAAGCAGCCCTGATGTGTCTGACAGACAGACCACACCCTTTTCTTTTTGCTCTTAGTTCCCCGTTGACGTTGAATTTACCAAAACCTTCCCGTTGAAGTTTAGTTATCCATTTGCTCAGTCCTTTAGCCTTTCGTTTCAAACTCTGTATGTAATTAATCCAGACATATCTAGCTAGCATACATGCCATGCATCATGCATCATTAGTTACCAATCAATCAATCAATTCCTATTATTATTGGTACTAGTAGTATCTATATAACAGTCATACAGTAAATATTAACGTAACCTGACAACTCTTGCAATTCACAGAACGTAAAAACCTAATCCCCCTAATTCGTCTCTGCAGTGGTATTATTATAGGGGTTGATCTGATCAGTAAGTGTAAAGATTGAACTTCGGTTTAGGTGAAGGATAAGGGTTAGTGACAAGTACCAAGGGGCAGGGTGTCCCTCACGCGGATGTACCAAAGGAGTGGAATACGATAAATGATACGAATAGCACTGCTGGAAGGTGGGCCACACAAGCTGAGCTAGCTAACTGGCTGGCTAGCTGTACTTACGTGTTGTTAACTGGCGGTGGTTGTTGTCGTTGTTGTTGCTGCTCTATAGCTACTGCACAGAGGTATGGTAGACTATGCGTGTATGTGCTATCAAGGGAGTGAAACAAGACGATGGGGTGCACAAGTGTCTCAAGAAATGAAGGAAAGAGGAAAAAGAAATGAGAAAGCAACATGTAGAATAAGACAACCGTCAATAGCCGGTACTTCACTGGGTCTCGCCAATGTCACCTTCCGATGGCCGTTTGCCATCTGCAGAGGCGGCTAGGGTTTCGGCGACGCTGTCGACGTCTTGCTCAGGGGATGAAGTCTCTTTGGCAATGGGGACATCCTCCTTGACCACGGGTTCTACAGCGGGGCTTGGCTCGGCCGCACTGTCAGTTGGTATTGAGTGGGCAGCCTCGGTGAATGTAGGCTCCTTAGATTCAGTGACTGTGGTGTCCTTCGGTGAAGCTGAGACTTGCTCTTCCTTCTCCGGCAATGGCTGCGGATCAACAGGTTCACCGGCGATGTTCTTTGCGATGGCTGGTGCCATGGTATCGGGCTTGGTATCGGGAACAGCAGAGTTGGCTTCAGATCCAACGACCAAGTTACCGTCTTCACCAACTTGCCAGACATTCAACGTCGTGGTGATTCTGACCTCAGGAATAGTGGGTAACCTCGTGCTGGCCTTCTCAACGGCAGGCTTTCTCCGCGCGGGTCCACGGGCGCGGCCCTTCCGAGCATCACTCAACGGTTGTTTCTCCACCGGGGCGGCTTCTTCCTCCTTCTTCTCCTGAAGCTTGGGAGGGGCTTGCGGGCCAAGCTGCAACCGTGAGTTGAGATCCGACAGGAACCCTGCCTTCAGGGCAGCAATCTTACTACCGCCAGGACGCGCCGGTACGGCCGGTTTGGGCTTGGGAGCGATATCCTTTGATTCTTCGGGACTTGCACGAGAGATAGGCTTGGCTGGACGGGCTGGAATCTGAGGCTTGGGTCTATCCGGGATGACTGGAGGTTGACGCTTTTCAGTAGGTGAGGTGACCGGCTTCGTTGATGCATCCACTGCTGGTGCCTGCTGCGGGCGCTTCTGAGGACGTAGTGGGATGCTCGGCTTTGAGGGAACTTCTGGGCTCTTGACCTCTTCCTCTGACGGCTCTATGGTCGTCACTAGTGTATGGCTTTCAGGGGCGTCCTCCCAGATGTCACGGCTGGGGAATCTCTGCTTGGCCACTTCCGGTCGAGCGGGGGGCTTCTCGTCATGCTCTTCGGATTCCAAAATCTGTGTTGCGACCTGATGGGGATCCAAGTGACTCGCGTGGCTTCTACGGAAAGACTCTTGTTCAGGAGTCTCAAAGGCCTCCTGCTTGGGGCCCTCCGGGGTAGACACCGTAGCGTGCAGCTGCAGACTGTTAGGCGAATCTTCCCAGATATCCTGGCTAGGGAACCGATGTTTGAGCTCCGGACGCTGCTTGAAGCGCTCTGCAGTTGAGACAGTCTTCTTGTCCTTCGCATCGTCCTCAGGAAACAGTGGCTCATATTCTTCGACATCTTCAAGAGGGGTGTAGACGCCTCCATGCTCTTCGCGCGAGTCATATCGTGTCAGAGCGGGCATGCCACTCTGTACACTAGCAGCCCTGCTGTTAGATCTGCTGTGCGTGGCACTAGGTGTATGACTTCTGCCTTCATAATCGACACTACCACTCCTTCCAAACGAAGGTGAAACAGCGGGGTGCTGGTAGGCCGACTCGGGGCGCACTTCGTCGGCAGCCAATATGGGCTCGTCGTCTTCATTGCCATCAGTAAAGCCGCGGTTGAGCTCTTCCGGACCCGGAGTCTGAGCGAAACCATCGGGATGGTGCAAGTGGTGGTACGGCTCGTCAACATGGATCACTCGAGGTTCTTGTGGCTTCTCAACTGCCTCCTTCTCCACAGCCTCATCCTGTTGTGCCTGGGACTCTGCGGCTGGTAGGCTGGACTTGCGGAGCGGGGACTCGAACGCCGGACGAGAATCCCGACGTGACTCGGGAGGTGGCGATGACAAGCGATGCGTATACTCATCAGAGGCGATGTAGCCAACTTCCTCTTCTGGAGTTCCCGCCACAGCAGGCGAGGTACCTGAAATATCATCATCAGCACTATCGTTTCGATTACAAAAGTGTATCATTGGTTTAACGTACCAAGTCCAGAGCCAGTGACAGCAGAACCTCGAACAATTTTGTTCAGGTCGTCGCTACTCAAAGCCCAATCTGGTCTAGGCGTGCCAACACCCGGACCATATTGGCCTTGTTCCTCCTTGACGTATTCCTCAGGGTGCTTCTCATACCACGCTTTTTCAAACTTGTCGTTTGTAGGTACACCGTGCCCATGCAGGCCATAACTTCCGGGTGGCAGAGAGGCCTCACGACCACTACGGGTTCTGTTGTGACTCCGACCTGGACGTTGCTGCTGGTGCTCCACGATGTATGGACTTGGGGACGGGGCCTGGACATCGCCCGCGTTGGGGTACATGGGCACTCTCTGCCCAATCTCGGGAATTCCGTGTTCATCACCGTGGAGTGACTGTCTGCGATCTGCGGACGCGGTTGAAGACTCGGCGCGTGAGCCACTAGCCCGCGAATGCGATGAGCGAGTGGGCCTTTCGGCATGATCATCATGAAGAGGAGACCCGGCACGGCCCAGACCGGCTGCTGCAGCTTGACGAGAATCTGTACGTGTGACAGCCTGCACCTTGGCCTTGGCACTGGAGGAGGGTAATGATGGCCTTGGCGCATGGAGCTTGAGATCGCTTCCCACGTTGCGTGTTTCCGCGGGGGTCGACTGGTGGGCGTCGGAGGCGTTGCCAACATCCAAGTCTTCGTACTCGATACCCTCTTCACCCAGAGAGGGAATTGTGACACTCGGAGGACGGGGAGGCAGATCGGTCGAGGGGGTACGCTTCACGCCCGAACCATTGGGCAGTTCATTCAATGGAGAAGGTGCATAGCTATCGCGGTAGGGAGACACTGAGCGCTCAATGCGGTGGGTGGGACGAGGAGGGATCCTAGGCATGTCTGCTGAGGAAGGTGCAAGGCCTTGTTGAGGTGATCTTGACGGTCGGGGAGGGATGACTGGAGCTGTTTGACTTGACATGATCGTCTGGTTGGTCTGATAAATATGGTTTCGGTATGTGCTGGGAATCAATTCTAACGATCATCAGTATCAGCGGAGCATTGAACAAGTGTCACATGAGCCAATTGGATCTCGATGGCGGGGAAGTGATGAGGGTTGGGTTTGAATTGGAGCTAGCACAGGGCAGCTGTGCATACATAGGTCACGGAAACAGGACAGGATGCAGGGGCGATGGTCAGTCTTGGGGGACGTGCTCCCAGTGGGAAGATAGAAGAGAGCACTATCTCAGCTAGAAAGAGGAGCTAGCGGAAGAGCTGCAGAAGAGGGCACGAGGCGAACTCTGTGGCAGGGATTGTACATATGTAGCCGGAAGCAGGTCGATAAGATAGGTGCCATGCGAAGCCGCTCACATTCTTTGTTGTCTTGGCTTGTCCAGCAGACTTCTGAAGGCGGATAGGAAGCCGTTCCAAGGGATTTGGAACGATAGAGAAAGGACGATACTTGCAATGACTGATAAGGGACATGGAATTGATTCGCTTACCTGTTGGCGCAATGTTGGAAGGAGGACTCAGTCCGAGCTCTAGAATGGGGGGAGGAGGAACGGGGTGGGGAAAGTCAATTCTGGGAGAATTCAAAAGATGAATATGAATATGATGCTGAGAAAGATGGAAATACACGAGAGAATGTGTCCGAGCGAGGGGGAATGAGGAGAACAGTGAAGAAGTAGAAACAGTAGCAAGAAGTAGGAGGAGGAGGAGGAGGAGCAGCAGCTTGGCAGCAGGAGACGGTCAGGCCTGCAAGATAACTAGTCTACAAGTAACTATGGGAATGATGTATGACTCTTGATTACCGCAAAGTGGCCGTAACAGCCAATCTAACCGCTTTCTTCCTGCCACGGCCCACCGCCCCGTCGCGTGACGTGCTCTGACGGCATAATACCGCTCCTGTCCCCTCTTACAAACCGTATGGTAACCGTATCTGGGCTGTGAACCAACCGGCACGTTTGTTGCAATTACATAGTATTGTTGAGGCGGTGGCAGAGGACCCCGCTGGGATCAGGAGTCATTTTTAGGTTTCCCATTTTTTCTTTCTGTATCACCGTGTATCATTCCTCTCTCTTTTTCAAGACACGTTCCACTAGACCCTTCTGCAAAGGATGTTCAAGATAACGTTAATCAGTTCAGACAAACACAAAGTAGTCATAGTAGTAGCTAGATAGATGGAGAAGACCACATACCAACTGTCCGTTTCTCAGGCATCATCGTTCAGCTGACGACAATCCACCAATAATACCAGATTAACAACAAATCCCAAGATCCTCAAATGAGACTTACCCTATGCATGAATGACCGTAATGGATAGGTATGATTTGGTGATGTTTTTTTTTTTTTTTTTTTACTTTTTACCATTTTTCACTGCATTGCATCATTTGAGGCATTTTCCCCTCTTAGTCTGCTCTTGGAAGGTTGAACATAATGCATACCAAAAGTCTAGACACTTACTAGGTACCCCAGTAACATCGACGATAACACGTTAGCGCTTCGTGATACTACGAATTAGCATCTATGAAAAGGTCAGCTCAGACCCCAAAGGCAAGGCCGTCGGCCCCCGCCTTGCACGACGCAGAAACCCGGTATCAAATTGGCGGACTACGGATTGATGATCTGTGGCCGATCCATTCTTGAAAACTCCCGGTTTGCTCTAAGAATAGGAGAAAATAAAATCCCTCCCCTATTTTTGCGCTACTTTGTAAATAGATACAATGAATGGTGCGGGGGGAAAACATTCGAATACCGGTAAGAACATACACTGTCCATAGTGAATTGCCCCCTCTGCTGCGTCAGGAACCACTTCCCTCCCCCATCCCCCTTTCATGTTGGGAAAATGAGTCGGGCTAGACCATGGTCCAGATGTAGTCTCAGCCACAGCGCCACGAAGGGGGTATTTCCCCCCCGGTTGCTACTGCTGTATAGTACAGAGATCAGTCAATGGGCAATATGCAGAGACACTAAGAGACAGGGAATAATACCAGATTAGCTATGCAACTTATGTTATTTGTACAATATGTTCACTCTTGTGCATTATTTATTTCCCTTTCTACAATGCAATTGCCAATACTTCAGTGTGGCGGTGCAGACCGGCTTTCCGTACTGATTTACTGGTGCAGCCTTCCGTGGTACAACAGGTGTATGTGTTGATTGCCGGTCTAATATTGAGTAGTCACTCCATGCCAGGCTGCATGCTTGCTATGCATGCATATATACCTCAGATTTTAAGGTCGTAAATGTCAAGCAATACCGCTATTCTATCAATTTGTCGAAGCACTCAGTGAAAACAGATAGATACGGAGTATATGTAACTTGATATGAGTTGAAATCTCCCATGTAGTCTATAGTAACTATGCATCTATCCTTGGTGGCAGGTTTTGTGGCTGCCGGTGGCGCACCCTCCCTGTCCTTATCTGATCCTGAAAGAGCAACTTTTAAAATTAGCATATACTATGATTGATATAAGAAGGCTTTTCTTATTTGCCTGCGTTGCTATAGTTGCTAAATACATCTAAAGAGTTACATATTCGCCTAGTAAGTGCTCTTGCGGTTATTAAGAATTCATGATTCGTAAGTAGATATAGTAGTTGGTAAAGATATTTCCTAGTCCTCTGCAGAGTAGACATGGCTGCCAACCTTAACTTTACTACTCTGTATACTGTGTGAACATGCAGTGCAGAATTGACTAAAAGATGCTACCTTTTAACATAATAGACGTGTCTCTAAAGAGTGAGTGAGTCCTTGTATCCGAAAGTATCACATCAAGGCCTGAAGATGCATATCAGAGAGGGAAGAGAGAGGCAGGGTGATCGTCTTTCAGACGGATGGCCCTAGAAACAACAATGTTATGCATTAGAACCCGCTGTTTAACAACCTTCAGAAGAACAAGAAGAAGCCAATTGGGGCAGCCTGAGGGTCGGAACAGCTGTCTTCCCCATAATGAGGGCTGTCGTCAGCAGTTGTGATGTGCAGCATCGGCATGAAGAGCTAGACTGAGATGCACGAATGAAGAAATCCTTGCCGAAAGGATACTACTACACGATGGAGGCAACCGAAAAGCAGGTTTTACTGAAACCAAAACCCAAGACAAGTTGCTGGTCGGCGGTAAGGGAAAGAACTGATGGGCTTCTGGAGGTTGGAAGGGAGGCCGGCGGGCGCCCTTGACGTGTTTGGTGTAGGGAATTATTGGTGCGCTGGTCCGGAAAACTTATCCTACCGGGACAACCAGCTATCACTGGCTCCGTTCTGCCTTGACAGGTGCCCCCAAAGCAGGCGGACTGATCTCCGGGTTCAGTCTCGAAACTCCAATTGTCGTCCACTGGCTCACGCCACTTTCGTCTTCCTTCAATGCTTTATCTATTTCATCGTCTCTGCTCGGGACCTTCTCATCTGAGTTGATCCTTGTCATCCTCTACTGACGATTTACCGTGGGCTCCTCTAAAAAAAACAGATACCGCATTTTTCAGGAAACACACATTAACACTGCTGAGGGAACGCCCCCCCCCCTTCCCCTCCTCCCTCCCTCTCTCATGGTACAGGATCTAATCTTCGCCCATCATGCCTTCCGATTGAACCTGCTCCTTTCGACTTTCATCCACTAACCATTCCACCTGGTATCTCTATATGATTCGATGCAAACATAATGACGGAGTAACATTGCCTTCCTGGCAAATAATGCTATGATACCCGGGCTTACAGCCATTGTGAAGTCTCCTGCCCCCTGTGATCCAGTACAGCAACAGCTTCTGGGGGCAAAGTGAGCCTCGAGGACTGAACAATGTTCTCTAGATTGCGAAGCATCTCTTTAGCTAACGCGAATCTTTTGCTGAAAGCCACTAGAAACCGACACAGTTCCACAAACGCGTCCTTTGAATCGTCCTCGTTCAAGGCACTCAGAAAGACAAGGAGACTACTATTGGTGGGCTCGAGTATTTGCCTGGGTATTTGTCGCAATCCATAGGCTTCATGGTACGAGCGGAGACAATGGACAACTTGCTTCGCCGATCGAAGCTGATTTGACCGGGCTTGTTCAAATTCCGATGGATGGGACGTGGGCCCAAAATGTTGATGCTCCAAGAAGTATTGGAATAATACCATGATCGTATGGTGATATCCGATACTAAATGACAGTCAGAGATGGTGTAAACATCTACTCCGTGAAGTTCATGTTCTTACTACAGGTATAAGATCTGTGGTGGTTTCTCATCGTCGGCTTCAAAATCCTTCGGAAGGCTGTCAAGCCATCGCTGCAAGAGAACGCATTTCTTATTGGCTGCTATCCACAATTCGCCGATTGCCATGTCGAGCCCTTTGTCAAACAGCAGATCCGGTATGTCCGCGACAATTTCGGTCAAATCGATTATTTTGGTCATGACGAATCGTAGATATGCCGGGTGTTTGGCGAGGCCAACCTGATTGAAGCGAGGATACGGTATCCATATAACATCATCATCGAGCGCAGTTACAGGATAAGGTTTATATTTCGGTGGCTTCAACTCTGCGACCTTGCGACTATGCAATGACGTTTGCCTGCAGACAGATTTAGCCGGTTAGCTTGGTCGGTTTACGTCGGGGATACCGTCATACGCGTTCAAAATAAAGAGACCCCAAGCAGTGATTGCACAAGCATGCTGCAGTCTGAGAGACATTTTCTCCCACTGGCGGCGTCCCATCCTCGGTGAAGTGAACATGCCAAAATCTTGTGCGAGCTGTACAGCTTGTCTGAGCATGAGCCAGCTCAAGTCGTCTTTACCTTGGAATTTCAGGCTTCAACTAGTCAGCTGCTAGAGTTGGTATGTAAAATTAGGATGGGGGGTCTCTTCGCGAGCCATACAAACGACTCATTAGGGCCACAGCTTGAATATTGGCCAGAGAAACGCGGCCTTCCTCCGCGTTCCACAATCGCTCTGCTTCCGCATAAAAATGCTGCCCCCGTGACGTCTCATCGTCAGAGACAGCAAAAACTTCTGGAAAGTCGGAATAGATCTTGTCGTGGTCAGAAAAAGCAAATTGAAAGGAGGATAGGAGCAACGCACACTTGCCACCGCTAATATGCTATTAACAAGCAGCGAGGTGCAGCAATCTGGGTTGGTTTCTTTGGTAGCCATATGCTTTAGGAACATCTCTTGATCCATGACCTGCAATAACGGATGATCCCAAGTGAAGTACAACGATATTAGGTGCGAAACAATATGGTCATCATTAGTAACCACTGTCCAAGGCCCGGAAGATACCTGGAACAAGGGAATATCACATAGCCTCTCCACCTTTATCCGCAAGTGGGCTTCAACAACTGGACGCTCGTGCTGCGATGGGATATCTTCCGCAGGTCCAACGCTTTTGGAGTGCTCTGAACTTGCGTCACTGAAATCAGTGGCAGGAGCGTCGATAATAGTGACCAGGTCGTTCAGTTGAGCATTGCCACGGATCTTTTCCAGCATCTGTCGTGCCTTTTCTTCATCTGAGGA